GAGAGGCCCAGTCGGGCTGCACGCGTCGATCGGAGGCAGCATCTTGAGCAGGTCTTCCAGGCCTCTAGGGTGAGTTGCTGCGTCGATGCGGCAGAGAAACTCTCACTACCTGCACAGATGGGAGACGTTGAGACACTGAAAGCCTTGATGAAAAAGCAGCAAATAGATTTGAACGTCCAGGATAAGGAGGGATGGACTGTTATGCATCATGCGAGCTTCATGGGGCAGACACATATAGTTCGGTAAGTGCTAGCGTTTGTAGCAGAGCGCACGGAAGCCCATCTACCGGAATTCGCAACTGTTCTTTGCATGTCAGCTACTTGATTGACAACGGCTTCGAGATAGGACCGAAAAATAAGGTGAATCCTTAGCTGACGACTAACCTAGATGCACGCATGGACTTTAGTTCGGCCGTACTCCCCTTCATCTAGCCGCCGAGTGGGATAACGACGAGGTTGTGGAACTGTTGCTCTCCAGAAAGGCTGATTTCAACGTGCCAGATAAGGACGGCTGCTCTCCACTAGAATGTGTAGTGAGCTCTCTCGGTTGAACGTATATTGTTAAGACATTACGACAGGCTGGGGACTTGTCTAGAAGTTTGATGGAGAACCAGTCTTGGTCCAAGCGAAGTTCACTGCTATCAGACGGAAATGCACTCTCCGTCGCAGCAGTGTCGGAAGCTGTGGGAAATGGTAGGGATTGTGAGCATCTTCGCTCGCTGTGGCCATCCTTTTCTACCAGAAACTGACTATCTAACAGTTTCGCTCGACTGCGAGATTAGTTTAGATGATCTCGTCGAAGAGGAGCAGTTGGGCACTGGTGAGAAGTTTTCTATCGTCTCGACGAGTCTTGGATTTTAAAGCCGGTCAGTTGAAACTATGCTTCAGGTTTGACAGCTGATGTCTATAGCGGTACCTGGCGTGGGACTGATGTTGCGATCAAGAGAGTTGACTGGACCATGGTAGTAATCTAGGCCGCTTGGTCACGAGATCTACTGAGAATTATCGGTTGAAGCTATGTATTGCATTGTCTCAGGCATCGGATTATGAAGCCACCAAGGCTTCTCTGTTGAGAGAACTGACTCTCATGATGCGACTACGGCATCCTGGGATCGTCATGGTCATGGGAGCTTGCCTCTCTTCGCGTCCGCTCAGACTCGTGAGT